GGAGGAGAATATTACCTGCGCTCCTGAATCCCTCAGTGACTGCCCTGCTGAAGTCTCTTTTGATCGCTTTCGTGGCGCCTGCCTCTGCTTCATCCCCACCCACGTGGAGGAGCAGCAGTGGGTAATAGTCAGAGGGCTGTAACCGGCTGGGGCAGGACCCGCCCCATTGTCAAAGAACCCAAAGTTGTGGCGTTGAAACCAGCCACGGAGCCATGCGTTTATGGACTGTCTGCCTGTTCCACCCAAGATTGCTGCCCTCAACTGGAAAGAGGGAGGAGAATATTACCTGCGCTCCTGAATCCCTCAGTGACTGCCCTGCTGAAGTCTCTTTTGATCGCTTTCGTGGCGCCTGCCTCTGCTTCATCCCCACCCACGTGGAGGAGCAGCAGTGGGTAATAGTCAGAGGGCTGTACCAGGCTGGGGAGTTCCCTGGCGATGTCCTTAACACGGGCCCTGGGGAGGCAGCGGACTTCTCTGAAAGGAGGGTCTGCCCTGCGTATCGGGCCCTCTGTACCCTTCAGATGGGAGTCCCCTACGACTATAACTCTCCTTTTCTTCTTTGTTGGGGTGGTCACGACCCGAGGCATGGGCCTTTTGGGCCTAGGTGCTACCTCTGGAGTAGCTTGACTGTCATCCATACCCTCGCTCGAGTGGCTTTCCCCACCACAGCCCCGCACCCGTTGCACCAGGATGGCAAAGTGGGTGAGGAGGAGAAGGTTCGCTGCCTGCCATGCCGCGCACAAACTTGTTTCCGCTTGCTCCCCTCTTTGAGGCTGCTGTCTTCTGCCTGGCAAGGGGAGGATACAGGGTCCCCCTTCACTTTGGCTTTGGTCCGTTGGCTGTCCCTGTTTCTGCTTCAGGGAGGGCAGAGCTTGGCTCCGCCAGTCTATGTCTCTCTCAGCCTCTCTTATGTTCCTTAACCTCTCCACTTCCTCACGGAATTCTGGCACCAGGCACCATTCACTGCCTGTGTTATACTGAATTCTGGATGGAAGTTTCTGGTATTGTGTCTCTAAATAACTTCTTACTATGATACCTCTCTCAAATCTGTGCTTCGTGAAAATTTTATGAGAAAATCAGAAGAGCTGCACTGTAATGCAGTAAACAGTGGCTTGATGCAGGTAAGTTATAATGTCATGAGAGATGTTACTGTACCTATGATTAGGATCTCATATTAAGTGTTAGAAGACAAAAATCCCTCTTAATAGCTTATTACATAGGTGAAAGGTGAAATGCTCAGCTGTCTTGGTATTTTGTTTTACTGGGACAGTGTCTTATAGCTAAACGCTATATCGCTGTCTCTTTGGAGCTCACCAAAGACCAAGCTGCATGGATGTTTGGTCTTGTTGCAGGACTTTATTTTTTTTTATTTATTTTATTTTTAATACCTAGTTGAGTCTAAAAGAATTAGTCGCTACTAAAAATAAGGTTTTTACCATTTACTTAATTCCGGCTGCCCAAGTATTGAGGTGCCTTAACTGAATTACTCTGCTTCTGTGGACATGAGGGGAGCAGGTGTTAAAGCAGAATGAGGTTTCATTGGTTGTGTTTAGCTGGTGAATGGTGTGTAGTGCATGAAGACTTGTGTTCCTTCTGCACTGTCGTTCCCTGGTTTGGCAGCATAACATGGAAAATGGGCATCTAAGAGTAAATGGAGGATTATTGCCAACATTTGTGTCGGTATCTACTTTTTAAACTTCAGATAACTAAGAAAATACTCAATACTAATTTTTTTCCTGATTTCTTGTGTTGTTTAGAGAATGCGTTTGAGTCTGAATACCAGAAACTTCAAGAGCATAACGAATCCTTGCATGAATTAAGAAAGGAATGCACTGCGAAGAGGTAAAAGGACCTATGCTTCTTCTGCAATTGGAAAGGAAACACAGCCTTGAGAGTAGGGCATTGGAAGTAGGACTCTTGGCACCGATTTTTTCCCAAAATTTTGCCCCAAAAGTTCCCTTAAACCATCTCTTCTACAATTTATAGATATCTAAAGTGATAATTAACAGTGGCAAGTCTAGAAGAGAACAGATGCTTGGTTGCACTTGTGGACTGTGATAGGACTTTTAGGTCTGTTTTGGTGAAACACAGCTTTGTGATATTAATTGTCATAGTCAAAATATGACTATAACATGAGGTATAACTGAAAATGAACAGTTAGCTTTGTCTTCTGTAGTTACCTTTGTGGAATTACCTAGCTTTCTGCAGGAGTGGAGGTGATACTTGGGAAGATGCAGAAGGGATATGAGGGCTTGATACATTTAGTTAAAGCTTTTGAAGAAACTAATGGTTTTGGGATCTCTTTCCCCAAAGAGAACTCTTTTTGAAGACGAATGCCCAGCAGACTATTCGATGCAAGCAATTGCTGTCGGAGCTATCCTACATCTACCCTATTGATCTGGTATGTTTCTAGTGTTCTAAAAATCTGCTTGATGTGAAATGAGCTTCCAATTTATTACACTTTGAGCAAATTGCGTGTTTTATTCGTGATGAAACTTGCTCTTTGCTCATGCTGTTTTTTCCAGCTTTTTCTTGGATTTGGTCCTTAGATTGCAAACCTCATGGGGAGAGGACTTATGCCAGCATCTCTCAAATAGTCTCCACTATAAAAGTAGAATAGCTTCGCTGTAATTTAATGGATACTTTCCATTTTGTTTACAACTATATAAAGTAACCCTGACAGTAGGCTAGCCGAACTTGAACAGAGTGCATATGAACAGATGTCCAAATATTGAGCTCCAAAAGCTTTTATATAATGAATTAAGATGAAACTTTTCCTTCTTGAAAAAAAAGTTGCATTTATTTCTGAATTATATGAAATGTGGGCTAAAACACTATGTCAAAGTCACTCTGGATTTCATAGAATATTTAGTTTTTTTCTTTACAAAAATACTTTGTTGTCAGCAGATTTTGTGCAGGTTTCTGTTTCCTGGATGTTATTGTTCCATTCTCACTTTCCATTGTTGATTTTAAACTTGCAGAATGATCAAAAGGATTACTTTGTTTGTGGAGTCAAGCTTCCTAATTCTGAAGACTTTCAAGGTAGCTGGATATTCTTAATTTAATTGCTACAGTTGACACTGCTTCTAAACTTCATAAAATTCAGTAAACTGATAGCAATGGCTTCGGATCCAAATTTCTGACTAGAAGAAAACTTGTGTGTTATTTATTCCTACTTCCTAGCTAGTACAAAGGAAGTTACTGTTGACTCTTAGAAAAGTACCTCTGTATTCTAAGACTCAATAATAATGAAAGGCTGGAGCAGGTTACCCAGAGAAGCTGTGGAGTCTCCATCCTTGGGGATGCTCAAAACCCAGTGGGACACGGTCCTGGGCAACCTGCTGTAGCTCACCCTGCTCTGAGCAGGAGGCTAGGACTTCACAATTTCTAAAGGTGCCTTCCAAACTTAGTGATTCTGGTAAATAGTTGTGTCTGACCTAAAATTCTATTGTGGCTACTTTCAGCCCATAAATCGTGATGGGACAATGTACATGAATCTCCATTCAGTTTGCAGTAGTTGCCAGTGAACTTACCAAATAAATATCATGCATAAATAAGACTTTAAAGCTGCCTGACAGTATGGAGTAATTTACAAGTCAGCTTCTACTTTAACTGTCAACAGTCATCCTGTTGCAGAAGAAAATATATAGTATGCCTGTTCTTTATAACAGTTGTCCAGGTAACTGCATGCAGTCATCTACAAATCTTTGACGTGAATTGAAACTTTATTAAAATCCCCTTGAGAATTACTTGCTCACTCTGCAAGGCATGTGGTTTCTTGGGCAAAAGCCTAATCTATTGTCTAACTCTTTAAAGCCATCCCATAGGTATTAACTTGTGCTAACAACATGTAAATTGGATGCTAGAATAATGGAGGAATAATCTTTAAAAGAAGTTAATTTGTCAGTATGACAAAAATCAGTCTATTGCTTTGTTTTGCTGATGGCACTAAATGTGGTAATGAAGTCGATTTGGTAATTCTTGAGAAATCAGTGGTGTCCATCTTTTGGCCTGTTTTCAGTTTACTGGTATTAATTATGAAAGAATTACTAATTCTTTATCCAAGTCTCTAGAAATACTGCATTATGAGGAAGAAGTACTATGCATTTAACTTAGTGAAATACGCAGTTAAATTTGAAAACCAGCTGACATGTATCTTATTTTGGACTCTTAGTAAATAATTTTTTTAAAAAAAAAATTATTCCCTAAAAAGCCAGTTTTTCTGCAAGTGTTGAAGACGTCTTACAAAATCCTTTTTTGAAAGCAATGTAACTATTAAACCCATATATTGTGTTGTGTTCTAATAGAGCTCAGTTTCATAGTTGTTGCTCAACATCATTATCAGCTGAGAAGGTGCTCTGTTTAAGCTCCCTTGTGCCTCAGAGGAGATGACTGTCATGTTTGTTTTGGTGTGTTCCCTTACAAAGAAGAAAAATAGAGCAAAACAGAAAGGAAAAGCCCCTACGTGGCTAATGGATGTAATTTGAATCGCAAGACCTGTGTGTGTTCCCAGCCAGGTGATGCTTTAAGGTTGAAGCCTTAATTGTTAAATTGAAAATGATACTTTCAAACAATGGGTTAATCTAAGTTCTTCCAGTTATTGGCAGAGAACAGAGTTCATACCCTGGGGTCAGCATTTCTCCAACTGATCTCACTAATGAATAAAGTGATGGAAGAATGCAGCTTTTTCCTGACCCCGGTCATACATGTCAGCTACATCTAGAGAAATGCTTAAGAAAGTTTAAGACTTGAATTTTGTCTTGGGAATTTCATTTCACTTTTTTCCCATCTCTTCTTTACCGTCCCTTACCCAGCCAAACATTGAGAAGAGTAACTTTTAGTTTTGAAAGTGTAAAATTGGAAGGAGAACAAGCTATCACCCATTTTATGTTGCCCTTTAATGACAGAGGCAAATATAGCCAACTGCAAACAATTGTAGAGCAATCTACATTTTATTTCAGACTTGTATCTATTAAGTTATAACTTCTGATAACTTCATAATTGTATCTTTTTCTGAACACTAAGGATGAACTTGCACTGAGCCTGCGCTCAGCTTCAATTTGAAATAATGGAATATTTTTGTTATTGACAGCAAAAGATGATGGAAGCGTTGCTGTTGCCCTGGGCTACACCGCTCACTTGGTTTCGATGATTTCCTATTTCTTACAAGTGCCACTCAGGTATCCCATAATTCACAAGGGCTCTCGGTCTACAATCAAAGATAATATCAATGACAAACTGACAGAGAAAGAGCGAGAGTAAGTATGTCGTACACACACTTACGCACTTTCTTCAGAACAAACCTTGAACAGTTTTGGGTAGTCTGAAGTGACACAGTTTGAACTCATTTCTTACTGCTTTCAGTAGCCTTGGGACAGTCGTCGGAGTTTCTCGCCTTGGAATTCTGTGATCTAATAGAGTAGTTCAGATTTGTTATTCCAGGTCTGTTGGCATGCATGTGCTATTGATTGGGCTTCTGATAATGACAGAATAACTTAAATAGTGTGTCTTAGAGGTAGGTTGGCTGGTGATTGGAAAACTTGCCTTTTGTGTTTTGCTCCTGGCTGTGGGAATAAACTGCAGATAGGAAATGTAGCTTCGCTGAGGAGGTACTGCCAGTACTGGACTAGTGGTTGATAAACAAGAGAAAATAAATAGCTTGCTTTAACACAGAGGACTTTAACCAATTGAAAAAGAGCACTGTAAACTGTTAGCCAATATAAATCAACTGAATATTCAGTGAAGATTTTTTCATCTGGTCTGTAATCATTGTCTTTCAACAGGTAGCTACACTGTTGTTGTTGTTGTGCTACTAAGAAACTATTTTGCTGTCCTTAAATATGGTTTCTGATTGCCTTCTCCTGCATTTTGGCACTTTTCCTATTTTCCCCACTATCTTTGCACCTGCGTGCTGTAATATGAAAATAGCGGCCATTACTGGTTAAGCTTCGCTTTGTAGCCTGCAACCACAGAACTCGAAGGCAGGCAACACTGACCAGCTGTGGGAGGCCAGCAGCTCCACTCAGAACCTGTGTGTGTATGGATGACTGCAGAGACAGGCTTGCAGCGCCAGTAACCTTGTTTTTCCATATGCAGGATTTGAAAAGGGAGCAAAGAAAATGGCTGAGGGCAAATGAAGCCTGTAAAAAAAACCAAACAAACAACAAAAAAAACCAACAAAAAAACCCCCCCACCTCTTCTCTTTGAAAGTATGGAATCAAAGTATTATAATATTTTAACACTAATTTCTAATAGTCCAAATCAAGATGGAAGGGTCTCATTGTGCATAGCTGGCAGTATTGGGATGCTGGGAAGTGTCTGATTTCTCTTTGAAGCTCAGTGACTTTTGGCAAGACAGCAGAGGTAACTTGCCTTAAAAGTTAAACTCACCACGGTTTTGACACAATAAAATATGACTGGAGTAATTATGTCTTGCAAATAAATTTTCATACCACCTTAATAACTTGTCCAAACACTTCCTGGGTAACTTAATAGAACATTAATTTGTTTTGCTTCAGTTTAGTTCTCTGAGCGTATGATCATACTCCTTCCTTTACATCACTTTCGGAAGGGCAGCAAAGTAGAACATTTATATCTGGAAAACAAATTTCTGAGGAGTAGAGCTGCCTGTGTGTGGGTGTATAAAGATTAAACCAATTTCCTGTTGTCTGAGACAGATTGGACGGTTTAGTCCTTCAGGCTAAAGCCTTCCAAACCCTCATGACTTAATACTTTATTTCACAATAGATTTCAGAAAAGGAGAAAGTTTAGCTAAGTATATGAATCCCTGTTGGGCCGTTTACCTGTGTTCTGCAAGATTTTTTCAGGATTAGCTCCTGCCTGAGATCTTCTCTTCCCAGCTTTTGGAGAGTCAATCCTACCAACTCTCAAAGGACTTCAGTTGCTATAGAAAACCTCAAATGTCTTCACTTGCAATTTCTTTCTAAACTAAGAGCTGATGTTTCTCACCTGCTCCAAACTGAAATGAACATAGCAATTAACAGGCATTATTAAATTTCTTTATTTTGGTGACCTGTCCTTTAGCAGCTTTTCTGACTCCAGTATAAACTGTTGAGTAATTACAGTGAGGTGTTCTCTTTACTCGAGCTTTACTATAACACATAGCACCATGATTATTGACTAGGTTAAACATTTTACTTGGCTTCGTGTTTTGGTGGGTTTTTTTTTGGACTGTAGGATTGCCTTGAGATGCATATTAAGAGATTCTAAAAATTGGGCTTCGGGGGAATAGCTGATGTTTTCACTTGAGAGCAATTTCATAAGTACACATTTGTTTTTTATGTTATACTGTATAAATGTGTTACTTCACTTTCAAGTTTCTGTACCAGCTTTTTAAAGACCTTATTATAAGATGGTTAAATATTTTGAGAGCTCTCAGAATCTAAGTTATGTTTGGGAAATATTTTCTGTTTCAGATTTGTTTACTTGCATGATCCAGGTCACTTAAACCTCAAGGCTCTTGTAGAAGTATTCAGTTGTCTGCTGTAATTACTGTTATATTGGAACTTCAGAGCATACAGAAGTAGGAGGCTGGGGTGAGAACTCAGCACTTGTGTCTGGCCACATTACTGAAAGTATAGAATATCTGCCAGTGGCATAGAATATATGATCAGCTTTGTAAATGTAGAGACATTAGTGTTTATAATCTCTTCAATAACTCTTCCCTCCTTGTATTCCATATAATTGTTTTGGTACTACTAAAAGGCTGTAAGTTTTCTCCCATAAATCTGCTTTTTCTTGACTTTCTGAACCACAAAGCAAAGGCAAGAATATAACTTTCACTATATATATCATTAAGACATTTCTTCTGTGGTCCATTTCAATGTCTCCAGAGTGCATCAAATCTGTAGGAAGAAAGAGTACCATTCCTCAAAAGTTCTGGACTCTGAAAGATTTCAAAGCAAATGATGGGTATATAACTCCCAAATTTAAGCTATTTAGGACAGCAGCATGTTCCTCACTCCGGTGACAAACACACATGCTTGCTGAATAAACCACCTAATTCCTTGGCACTTTCTTGCAGAACTGAAACCTAGTACTTCATCACATCCTTGTAAACATAGTAAGAATGCTGAGATTAAACTATTTATGATATGTTCTAAATGGCGAAGCCCTGCATTTCATGCTTCTGTTAGTCTGCTCCCAGATTTTTAAATAAAGAACAGCTTCCAGTTTAGAGCAAAATAAGGAGTGTTGTGTCTGGAGTGAGACATACTTTATGAAATTGCCTGTGTTGGTGTTGCTGCTATTGTCATCATATTTTTAGATAGTCATCAATTCTCCTCTTTGAATGCCAATAAAAGCTAAACATCTTGCAAACGAAATGCCTGCATTTTGTTGGCTGGAAGCTTACTGAATCTTTTTGAAACAGTATCAGTCTCCTTGTTCACTTTAAAGTGAGTACAGTAAAGCACACTATGCCATCTGTTTGGGAGTCTTTTGGCATCTCTGTTGAATCAAAGCTATGCTCGGTTGCTACTTTTTATAACTGAAACTTCACGTGACACTTCTACAACCTCCCGGTTGAATATTTAAGAATAGAATACTAGTTTAATCAAATCACATTATACAGCTTAGAAATATGTATACTCCCCTAAGAAAACCAATGTTCTTTGGAGCTTCATCATCTTTCAGGTACCCTACTGTGTCTGTGTAAGTGAAATGGACATTCAGAGCAATTATTTCTGTTGTATTTTTGTATTCTCATTCATGCTGTGTCTTGTAAAAGGTTTTAAAGAACTCTTACGTCCCTGCTATGTAATTGAGAAATGAGAGTGATTTCAAGAAATAGTTGTGCTAACATTGTTTCTCTGTAGTAAGAGTGAAGGGAAATGAAATACTACATGCAGTGTGTTCTGGTTCATGCTACACCTTCTTCCCATCAAAATGCATTTAGGGAGGATTAGAAAACTAACACTAGTAAGAAAGTAATCACCTCAAAGTCCTGTTTCAAGGCAGAGGCAAAAAATGAAGGGGTAGAATACATGATTCCAAAAGGGTTTGTATTTAAAAGGCAAAAAGAACGCTGTAGTTTTCAAGCGTAGCCACTGGAGCACATGCAGGCGTTTCAGATTTGTCTGATCTTGAAAAGGTGCTATTTTTTTTCCTGGTGTTGTATGTTTAAATATTGAACTTGTTGCCCCCTAATGTTATAAAGGTCAAAAGTACTTATAAAGCTTAACAATAAAATAATAAAAAAACCCAAACAGGCCCTAGACAGTCATGGAAGAAGCTGGATCTAGTCTGGTGTATTTTTTTTGCAGGAACATTTGGTATTAGCTGACCTGAGATAACAGTAAACTACTGTAAAGGTTTCCTTGGCATTTGTAGTTTATAGAAAGATTAAAGTCCTTTCTTCCACTCTGCTTGACAAAGACAGACACCAGCAGGCTAAAGGATATGCAAACAGCTGCAGTGCGGTCTGACATCTGCATTCAAAGGTATCTGACCTCTCTGCAGTTATGTTTATGATTTATATATTTTCTGCACCTCAGGAACCAGACACTCATGTGAAATGGCATAAGGAGGAGTGAAGTTGAGCATTCTGCCATTTACCTGTGGCTTAGATATTGGGGACACTTGAAGAATTGAGCTAGACCACTTTCATATCTGAGGCAGAAATTCTTCCCTGTGAGGGTGCTGAGGCCCTGGCACAGGGTGCCCCGAGAAGCTGTGGCTGCCCCTGGCTCCCTGGCAGTGTTGAAGGCCAGGTTGGATGGGGCTTTGGGCAACCTGGGCTAGTGGAGGGTGTCCCTGCCCATGGCAGGGGGTTGGACCTAGATGGGCTTTGAGGTCCCTTCCAACCCAAACCAGTCTGTGATTCTAAGTGGCAATGGTAGGTAGTTTCATGATTAGTTCCCTGACTTGCATAGTTGGAACAACTTCTATTCTACTTGGTTTTGTGCATCATGCTGCTTCTTGTCCTGCCTGAACACCTTCTGTTGTCACTAGGGAATGTCTGTCAGTTGCTCTACTATGTTCTCATGGAAAACAGGATCAAAATGTACGCTGTATTTGCAGCTAAAAGTGATAGGTCTGATCCTGAAGTAATTTTCTAGAAACTATTTCTGTGATGTGGGGTTATACCTAAAAAATGTCTTTTTCTGGAGCTCAGCTTCATCATTATTGCAAACTTTGAGCGTTAGTCATTTGTTTGTCTTGATGTTTAATTTAGGTAGATGTTGTAGAAGTAGCTGTTTTGAGCCAGGGTTGTTAAGATCTGTTGGCATCAGACTTG